AGGCTGGAAACAGTCAGGACGGTGATGGAAAAGATGATGATGGCGGGGGTAAAAAAGATAATGGAGATGCCGAAGGCAAAGATAACTGGGAAAAAGAACGTAAAAAGGTGACAATGTATGATATTGAAAAGATGATGAAGATCGCTTCTCTTATAGCAATGTTTAGAACACCCTGTTGCGGTTGTCCTTCTTGCTGCTGTTCTTCAAATGGTCGCAATGGCAAGTAAAACTTATCAGAATGCTGCTTGTGTCCGCCCTTCTCTGAGCCTTCAGCAAGTGGAGCCAGTAGCAATGCCATCAGCTTTGATTCCCAAATTAAATTGCTGAAAAGTTATATGCAATACGCTAGTCCGCCTCCTAAACCAGATAGCTCAACCTGAGTTCTGTGGAACAATTAAATGTATTCTATAATATACATGAGGTATTCAATAAAAATTCTCTTTCTGTAATATAGAAAATTCTTTACAAACAATATAATTTATATTGCTTGAAGTTACTTGATTAATAAGTTCTTGAAGTAAAGATTAAACTAACATTTTTACCTATTAAGCAAATTTATCATGCAAACTAGCTCATAATTAAATTTTGTAAGACATTGGGCATCATCCTTAGCGATCGTAAAACAATAAATTCGTTCTAGATCTAAAAATTCGAATACATCAAATTATTATAGATTTCAGTTTTATGTGACTTTATTAGATTTAGAAGTAGCATTAAATGAAGGGATAATGGTACTCCCGGAAAGCTGTAACAAACATACGTACACTAAACTAATGGAAAATCACGGAAAAATTGAGCCTGGCCAGATTGATTCCGGCCGACATTGTTGGGGGCCAGATTCGATGAATTGATAAGATAAATATCCAAAGAGTAAAGATTGCTGAATTGTACTTGAAATTTTTGCTTTTCTGTTGGAGTTATATGTAGATTCTGTCAGATCTTCTTTAACAAATTAATACAGGACTAGCAGGAGGATAAAAGTTTATCATTTAGTTGTTGATGAACTTAAATTTATGAATTATCGTCACTCTGATGAATGCGTATTGTCTTGAGTGCAAGTTAGTGATCCGAAAATGATCAGAAACTTTGGGAAAATTATACAAACATCTTGCTCTATAAGTTGTATCATCACTCCCATATCTTTGCGCGGTTATCACCTTTTCTTTCGCTGGAGTAAAAAATAAAATTATTTCCCCTTTCTTCAAATATATCAAACACACTAATACCATTTTTATTTTATTTTATTTTATTTTATCTCTTCAAGGTGACACTTTGTCCTAGGAATCCGGTTCTTTCAGAATTAGTAATTGGTATGCGTTCGACTAGGCGACAGCCCTTGAGGTTGTTTTGTGGTGAATCGATCTTCAAATCTATGACGACTGCATAAATCCTCCGTAATAGTAGAAAATAATTCTAATTTTGAACATTTCAAGCGCTTCATTTATCCAACATTTACTAGTAGATCACACAGAAGCATATTAAAAGATTTCTGTTTATCTTAAGTCAGCTTCATATGCATATCTGCACCTATGTTGTTAACATTTCTGTGCAAGTGAGACGTATATATGATATAAGCCAAAGTCACTTAGTTTTAACTTAGACGAATTAAGGCTTCATGAATTCAGTTCGCTTAAAGTCGGTAAAAGACTGATAATGCAACTTTACTCCCCTTAGTATGAGTAAGCATCATTCCCTATGGTAACTAGGTTCCAATTTAAGAATTTCTATTAGTCTCGAAGCATGCTCATTCCGCAAACAACATAGCCCAATCAATCTCGAATTTCGTGATATCAGAGGCGTATCTTACAGCGCATTATTTGCACTACTGATATAAATGACTCTCGCAGGCAATCAGTCAGGTAACAGCTGAAGAAGTCATATCTTAGGCTTTCAAATAATATATGCACAAATATTAAGGGAGTTGGGATTACACATCGGAAAGCTGCCGATAATAGTCTCATTTCCAATTAAATATCAGAGGATAATTATCAATAGATTCTATGCTTACTTAAGTGATATCTATATTCGCATTTTTGTACGCTTATTTTATCGCATGTTTCCTTCTTTTATTAATTTAGCAAATAAGCATACAACTGGAGATCTGCTAAGTAGGCATAGGTTCACAACATGAATTTACCCTATCTATCCTCAATTATTTTTCGCATTTAATTATTGTTTTGAGACCACCAGTAAATCAGTAATATGAGATGTATTCACCCGATTTCGGTTAAGGTGATGAAGGACTGGTGGAACAATTTTCCCACAATGTTATGAGTAGAGCTGAAGTGTCCATTCAATTGGGTAAAGGCATCTCATACTACTGATTTACTGGTAGTCTTGAAGCAATACTTAAATGCGAAAAATAAAAGTAACTTAGTCAATTGTTATAGCAAATATAAGTTTGCTTCATCGACACTCCCACCAAAGAATATGATATGGCGAAAGGCCTGGCCTTCCTTGAAATGCACATTTTCCCTTTGACCCAATGGCACTCGTGGCAATGTGGCCGAGTGGTTAACGTGTCAAGCTGCCATTCTGCATTTTCACGATTCGACTCTAGCTATGGGTGTTGATAAGACCGATGCGAGGTCGAAACTGTTGTCCACCCTGAATGATAACAACTTTTGGGAAAGTAAGGCAATGTGCAAATTAATGGAAGCGTCAGCTCTACTCATATCATTGTAGGAAAATTCTTCTACCAGTCCTTCATCATCTTAACCGAAATTGGGTGAATACATCTCGTATCCTCACTTACTTTTAGATAAGGGATTTTACGATCGTAAGTGATTTTATTCTTTGATTCCCTTTATAAGTAAGCCCATAAAAGGCAAATTAACTCCTAGTTATACTATCATAAAGGTTATTAAGTACAGAAAAAAAATTATTTGTGATAATATTCAAATTGATGTCTTCGAGCTACATATTGAGGGTAAAATTCTTGTTTCTAAATTTATTTATTAATTAACCAGGCAGAACAGGCTTTCACGCATTAAAAGTTATACTAGGCTTGTAATAGATCAGAATACGCTGCAGTGAATTTGATATCATCGTTTAGGGGCTATAGGGCCAGACGAGTCACGAGCGATTTTGAATAGCCATCCATCTTTTCTGAAAACATGTTTTTAGAATGCATTTCCCATAGGACACTTATTTGCTAGAATGCTGGTGGCACATGCTAACTCCTATAGAGAATGGTTATCAATTTAACGGATATATTTCTAATAACCCCAAATAAATTGATAATTTAAGCAGTCTTTGTTTTGGGACGACTACTACTCTGTAACTTGACTTATGGCATAAAGTACGCTAGTCTTGCTCCAAGATAGGCAAGATCAAGCAAAGAATCTTAAAGCCCGGAGTGGAATAAAAAGAGTCTATATATAAATAGAGGAAGACACTGTACTCCGAGGCGCCTGACAGACTCAAAAAGAATAGTGAAAGAAGTGATATTAAGGCTAGTGCTGTGTAGAGTAGCCATGCTTGATGCGAATATTCGCTGTATCGAAGTGTAGGTACAGGCGGTTTTGTGTGAAACAGAATCTGTTAGCGAATCGAGCTCTACAATGTTTAAACCTGTAACTTTTTTAATTGCTTAGGATTTTGTGACGTATTCCTAGTCCATAAAAAGTTAATCCATGTGGTTATAATCAAGATTTATAGAGAATGGATAATGTGCTACGATAGCGTTTGGATGTTGATCGGTGTAACAACGATATTTGCATATAAACACCTTGCATTAAACGGTTAATTGAAAAAAAAGATTAAAAACTAGTTCTACAAATTTAGGAAAAGTTTTAGAAGTTTAAAATGCTATTTGAGCATGCTACATCTAAGAGGTTATACTTTGATTTCTAAAAGTTATTCAGCTCGATTTATGGATCTCAAACAGATTTCCAGTCCTAGCACGCTATGATAGTAGCTTAGTTACTCATGAAGAAGAGCGCAAGAATAACAATCAATTAAATGATATCATATAATATCGTTGTATATTTCATTTTCCAGCATTTATTAAGATGAATAAACTTGGATAATGTCGTCTCCTGTGCTTTAGCATAAGAATATCTAGACCTATAAGAGGAAAGCAAAAGCTAGTATAGCATATAATTGGCCTCAAGTGGTACTGCCAAGGTGCTTTTAATCACACTTAAAGGGCACACAAAAATAACAGCAAAGAAAAACTGCTATTTACACACAATTAGTAAGTAACAATGAGAAAGTTACTTTTAGCAGAATGAGATTAGCCTGTCTTATTTCGAAGAGCCAATCACTTTCAGAAAAATGTGGCCAGGTAAAGATAATCATGATCAAATTGCAGTTAAAATAATTCATCTTCATTTGGCTGAGAGGACTGGATATACTGTTTTGATCCTCTTGACAAGAATACATTTTTATATTGTATTAAGTATGTAATCTGGGTGCTTGTGCATGATTAAGGCAAAACTTTTTTATTTACAAGCAGGCTGATGCTACATAAATTCAGCCGAAAATGCTTCGAAGGCAACGCCTAAATTATTTTTATGGAGTATTCTTTATAAATAACAGCAAAAAGCACATGCATAATTCTGAGAGAGACAATGCTTCTGTAAGAACTATGCACCATAGATCCAAAAAATAGTCGTTTATATCAGAAACGAGTATCTTCGTTATTTTTGGCAGTTAAGCGTGTATAACAAAAACTACACACAACGATCGAAAATGCATAAGATTCTGCACAATTATGATGTTAGGTCAACCATCTATTTATAGGAAAAGAAAGCAATATTACAGTGTACATTTCATGACTGCACAAATCTATATTTTTACACTGTTTCTGATTCTCGTCATTCTTGCTGCGGATGCAGGGAACAAGCCAGCTCCTTTTGGGCCAGATAAAGGAGAAGGAGGAAGAGGAGAAGCGAGAGGAGGCAGAGGCGGAGGCGGAGGTAGGGGCGGAGGTAGAGGTGGAGGAAGAGGAGGACGAGGACGAGGAAGGGGGGGTGGAGAGTCAGGGCAACAAGGCGAAGGCAGCATAAACTTGGATGACTTGCTAAAGATGGTACGGATAGCTTCAGCTCTAAATTGTCGCTGTTGTTGCCACTGTCATTGCAATTATGATGTACTACAGATGTTGTTTGATGAAAAAGATAAATCAAAATCTGATAAAAATGGATCTAATAAAAAATCTTAAAATAAGTGGCAAGCACTTGAAGATGCTTTAAATAATTCGCAACTTTTTAATTTGAACCTAAAGTATTTTGCAATTTTTGAACTCATTATATATGAGTAAATTAAAAATATTGTATATTTATTATTTGGCTTGCAAATGATATAAATTTTCTGAATATTAACACATTACATTAAGAAAATATTTATGGATAAGTGCACATTATAGAGCTGTACATAAATAGAATTTTACTGCGGAAATTGAATATTTATGTAATATGCTAAGACATCCATGTTGGAATACAATTAATATGCTGAAGAAAGAGTGGACAGGTGAGATTATTTTGTATTACTATAGACTGAGAATGGCTCACTGCCAGAACACGGTTGGTTAACGTAATACAATGTGTGTAGTCTTGACGCAAGAGATGATTAAACTTATTAA